AGAAAACAATTTCATTTACAATAGCATCAGGAAGAATAAAATATTCGAGGAATAGTCAAGGAATAACCTCGACTAAGGAGGTAAAAAACTTGTACACTAAAAACTATAAGACATTGCTAAAATAAATTAAAGAAGACATAAATGGAAAGACATCTATGTGCATGGATTGGAAAACTTAATATTGTTAAGATATCAATACTAGCTAAAGTGATCTACAGATTCAAAGCAATTCTTATCAAAATTCCAATAATGTTTTTTGCAGAGATAGAAAGTTCCACCCTAAAATTCGCATGGAATCTCAAAGGGGCCTGAATTAGCCAAAACCGTCTTGAAAAAGAGGAAAAAATTTGGAAGATTCACACTTCCTGATTTCAGAACTTATTACAAAAGTACAATAATCAAAAAATATATACAATAATCAAAAAAGTGTGGTACTGGCATAAAGGCAGACATAGACCAAGGAATAGAATAGAGAGCCCAGAAATAATCTCTTGCATATATAGTCAAATGATTATTGACAAAGGCACCAAGACCATTCAATGCGGAAAGGACAGTCTTTTCCCATGGTGCTGGGAAAACTGGATATCCACATGCAAAAGAATGAAATTAGACCCTTACCTTATATAATATACAAAAATTAACTCAAAAAGGATCAAACACCTAATCATAAGAGCTAAAAGAAGAAAACATAGAGACAAAGCTTCACAACATTGATTTTAGCAATGATTATTGGATATGACACCAAAAGTTTAGGCAATAAAAGAAAAAATAGATAAATTGGACTTCATCAAAACTGAAAACTTTTGTGCATCAAAGGACACTATCAAGAGAGTGAAAGGACAACCTACAGAATGAGAGAAAATATTTGCAAATCATAGAGTATCTGATTAGGGATTAGTATCCAGAATATATAAAGATATATAAAGAACACGTACAACTCAACAACAAAAAAGCAAACAGCGCAATTCAAAAAGGAGCAAAGGACTTGAATATACATTTCTCCAAAGACAACATACAAATAACTGATAAGCACATGAAAAGATGCTCAAGATCACTAGCCATTAGGAAAATACAAATCAAAACCACAGCGGGATACCATTTTACACTCACTAAGATGGCTATTATAAAATGAAAACAAACAAACAAAACACCAGAAAATAAGTGTTGGTAAAGATGTGGAGAAATTGGAACGCTTGTGCATTACTGGTAGGAATGTAAAAAAGTGCAGCCACTATGGAAAACTGGCATTTCCAAACTGTTAAACAGAATTACCATATGATCTGGCAATTCCACTTCTGGGTATATACCCAAAAGAATTGAAAGCAGGGATTCAAACAAATATTTGTGCACCAATGTTCAGAGCAGCATTATTCACACTAGCCAAAAGGTGAAAACAACCCAAGTGTCTATTAACAAATGAATAGAGAAGCAAAATGTGGTATTATACATACAATGGAGTATGACTTAGTCTTAAAAAGGATACATGCTGTAACATGGATGAACCTTGAAAACATGCTGAGCGAAATAATCTAGAGACAAAAAGAAAAATATTGTATTATTCCACTCATATGAGGTACTTATAATAGGCAAATTCATGGAGACAGAAAATAGAGGTTACCATGGACAAGAGAAGAGGGGAATGAGGAATTATTGCTTAATTGGTACAGAGAATCAGTTTGTGATGATGAAAAAGTTCTGGAAACGGATAGTGGTGATGGTTGCACAACATTATGAATGTATTTAATGCTACTGAATTGTATACTTAAAAACACTTAAGAGTTTCCCTGGTGGCGCAGTGGTTGAGAGTCCACCTGCTGATGCAGGGGACACAGGTTCGTGCCCCAGTCCGGGAAGATCCCACATGCCGTGGAGGAGCTGGGCCCGTGAGCCATGGCCACTGAGCCTGCGCATCCGGAGCCTGTGCTCCGCAACGGGAGAGGCCACAGCGGTGAGAGGCCTGAGTAACGCAAAAAAAAACGCAAAACAAAACAAAACAAAGTTAAAACATTTTTTAAAATTTATTTTTTATTTATTTTTGGCTGCATTGAGTCTTCATTGCTGCAGGTGGGCTTTCTCTAGTTGCAGCGAGCTGGGGCTACCCTTCGTTACAGTGAGTGGGCCTCTCATTGCGGTGGCTTCTCTTCCTGTGGAAAATGGGCTCTAGGTACTCACCTAGAGCTGTATTGGGCCACAGTTGTGGCACACAGCCTCAGCAGTTGTGGCTCATGGGCTTAGTTGCTCCGTGGCATGTGGGATCTTCCTGGGCCAGAGCTTGAACCCGAGTCCCCTGCATTGGCAGGTGGATTCTTAACCACTGCACCACCAGGGGAGACCCAAAATGGTACATTTTATGTTATGTATATTTTATCACAATAAAAGATATGCTGAATCAGGCTCCTGGACTTTAGACTATACTACAAAGCTACAGTAATCAAGACAGTATGGTACAGGCACAAAAACAGAAATATAGTTCAATGGAACAGGAGAGAAAGCCCAGAGATAAACCCATGCACATATGGTCACCTTATCTTTGATAAAGGAGGCAAGAATATACAATGGAGTAAAGACAGCCTCTAAGTGGTGCTGGGAAAACTGGACAGCTACATGTAAAAGAATGAAATTAAAACACTCCCTAACACCATACACAAAAATAAACTCAAAATGGATTAAAGACCTAAATGTAAGGCCAGGCACTATAAAACTCTTAGAGGAAGACATACGCAGAACACTCTCTGACATACATCACAGCAAGATCCTTTTTGACCCACCTCCTAGAGAAATGGAAATTAAAAAAAAAAAGGGACCTAATGAAACTTAGAAGCTTTTGCACAGCAAAGGAAACCATAAACAACACGAAAAGACAACCCTAAGAATGGGAGAAAATATTTGCAAATGAAGCAACTGACAAAGTATTAATCTCCAAAATTTACAAGCAGCTCATGCAGCTCAATATCAAAAAAAAAACCAACCCAGTCCAAAAATGGGTAGAAGACCTAAATAGACATTTCTCCAATGAAGATATACAGATTGCCAACAAACACATGAAAGGATGCTCAACATCACTAATCATTAGAGCAATGCAAATCAAAACTACAATGAGGTATCACCTCACACCAGTCAGAATGGCTATCATCAAAAAATCTAGAAACAAGAAATGCTGGAGAGGGTGTGGAGAAAAGGGAACCCTCTTGCACTGTTGGTGGGAATGTAAATTGATATAGCCACTATGGAGAACAGTATGGAGGTTCCTTAAAAAACTAAAAATAGAACTACCATATGACCCAGCAATCCCACTACTGGGCATATACCCTGAGAAAATCATAATTCAAAAAGAGTCACGTACCAAAATGTTCATTGCAGCTCTATTTACAATAGCCCAGAGATGGAAACAAGCTAAGTGTCCATCATCAGATGAATGGATAAAGAAGATGTGGCATATATATACAATGGAATATTACTCAGCCATAAAAAGAAACGAAATTGAGCTATTTGTAATGAGGTGGATAGACTTAGAGTCTGTCATACAGAGTGAAGTAAGTCAGAAAGAGAGAGACAAATACCATATGCTAACACATATATATGGAATTTAAGAAAAAAAAAGTCATGAAGAGCCTAGGGGTAAGACAGGAATAAAGACACAGACCTACTAGAGAATGGACTTGAGGATATGGGGAGGGGGAAGGGTAAGCTGTGACAAAGCGAGAGAGAGGCATGGACATATATACCCTACCAAACGTAAGGTAGATAGCTAGTGGGAAGCAGCCGCATAGCACAGGGAGATCAGCTCGGTGCTTTGTGACCGCCTGGAGGGGTGGGATAGGGAGGGTGGGAGGGAGGGAGACGCAAGCGGGAAGAGATATGGGAACATATGTATATATATAACTGATTCATTTTGTTGTGAAGCTGAAACTAACATACCATTGTAAAGCAATTATACTCCAATAAAGATGTTAAAATGAAAAAAAAATGGCTTTGAAGAGCAGTGAAGAAAGTATGGTCTTTTTAATAACTAATATGGGGACAACTGGATAGCCATACAGAAAAAAAATAAAACTTTGTCAGTACCTAACATCATATATAACATAATTCCATATTTATACCCGTAACATAAAATAATGAAGGTTTGGGAGGTAGTATATGGGAGATATCTCTCAAATATTATATTGTTATCTTAAACAGGAGAGCAAAAAAATTGGAAAATACTGATGTTTAGCCATGTTAAGACTATTGTCTCCCAGTGTTCACCAACCCTAAACTATTCACAACATTTTCTCAATCGCTGCCAGTTCCCCACAATGCAAGACCCATCTTAAAGCAGCTGAGTCATCCCAAATTCCTAAAAATACCCTACCCTAACATCACCCTTTTCAATCATTATCAAGACTGTGTCAAGTTGAGGTTCTTCCTTGCCAAAGGCTTAATAAATAACTCCGTTTTGTTTGATCAAGTTTTCTTAGGTGACTTTTGTGGGGGAGTAAAAAATGGACAGTCCTTACCTTTTTTAGATATAAACTGAACTATTTATAGATGAAATGATATAATTTCTGAGAAAAATTTAAAAATAGAGAAAGTAGATAGGGATAGATAAGATTGGTTATAACCATTGTTGAAGGTGGGTAATGGTACATGGGAGTTCTTTATACCATTCTGTCTACTTTTGTATGTTTTAAATCTTCTATAATAATAAACAGTTATTTTTCTTTTTCTAGTCCTTAAGAGGGGATATATTCATTAAGGTCACAGTAAATGTAAACTATCTGACCATGACTACCAGGCTCACATCTAGAAAGCATCTAGCCAAATGTATCCTAAGTCATGATGGATTCTGCAGTTCCGCCCCTGATGGAAGGCAGGGAAAAGCAGAGTGGCTGTAGATTTGAGAGAAATAATTCTTTTTAATGCCTTCCTACAACACCCGTAATGTAGACCTAAGAGTAGAAATAATTAACTTAAATTTGACATTTAAATTTTGGTTTAAAAAAAAGGAATAGAGAATATTTTTTTGTGCTTTATTTATTCAGAGAGTAAGATTGTGCTACAGTCAGCTAAATTCTTAGTTGTTCTTAGAATGTGCTCCTTCCTACACTCTACACTGGAAAAATGAATCTTATTCTTTCTTAGCATCATGGACTCTGAAATTGGCAGTTATTAGGATTCCACACACACACAGAGTGATGCTCAATGTGAGGCTCTGAATAGCTACTCATGTAAGTTGACTTTTCTGTGCATTTGTATGGAGGAGGAACCAGCTCAGGTTGATGTCCTGGGAACCAGTGAGGCTCTCGCTTAAACCCTGAGGGAAGAGAAAAGAGGAGTCTTAGTAACCAATCTCATTCTTATTTCTGAGGGAATAGACAGTGAGGGAATAGACAGTGAATCATGTCAAAATTGAGAAAACAGAGAAATCATTCACTCATTCATTCATTTATTCACTCATTCAATTTACTTTTATTTGTGTTCCTTCTATGTTCCAAGCATTTAGTTAGGTCCTGAGAATATAAGAATTAAAAAGAATAGTCCAGGGCTTCCCTGGTGGCGCAGTGGTTGAGAGTCCACCTGCCGATGCAGGGGACACGGGTTCGTGCCCCGGTCCGGGAAGATCCCACATGCCGCAGAGCAGCTAGGCCTGTGAACCATGGCCGCTGAGCCTGTGCTCCGCAATGGGACAGGCCACAACAGTGAGAGGCCCGTGTATTGAAAAAAAAAAAAGATAGTCCACCTACTATGGGTTGAAAGTGGTATTTTTTTGTTGTAGCTTGTATCATATGTCGTTTCAAAATAGTGTCCAAACTGCAAAGAAAAAGTAGTAGATTAAAAATACAGTCTATAACCAACACTGGGAAATACAGGATACAATGACATGAATTCTAACAGGCTGTGTCATATTTTAGATTGACTATAAGTCTATATGTCATTAGCCTATATCCTACTAATGTTCACATCCTTTGTTGGTTTGTTTGTTTAGGAGATTTAAGGGAAAGATGCAGATAAACAACAAGTCTAGGTAGGCAGGGACCAGGGAAGAAGCTACCCTGAGTCAGAAGACATTATATATATATATATTTCTGTAGATTGATGAAGTCCAAAGAGAAGCAAGAGAAAAAGCATGCTACCCATCCTTTCATTACCTTACAATAATATAATGGTCAACTTGATAGTAAAGTGGGATAGGCATTCCAGCTGAGGACTGTTGCCCTTTCCCAACCACTCAATGAACAGAAGTCTGAGAGATCTCAGCATTGGAAGTTATCAGATTCCTGACTCTCAAATGGTCATTGGTATTTCCTTTTCTAACAGAAGGAAACAAAGAAGAGAAAGTTCGATTACCTGGGAAGGCAAGGGTTTGGGCTGCACGATATGCTTTAGGTCATATCTCTCCTGGTTCCAGTTGCCCATGAGGGTACGGTTTGAATAGGCATCTTCATTAGTGGTACATCTCCATCCATACTGGAAAAACTTGGACATATCATTCCAATCTGTCCACACTTCAGCATGGCCATCTGCATTAACGAGGCTGCCACAGTGTGGGTTTGTAAGGAATGAGATGAGGAAATCTCTCTGGGAAAAGGCAGGAATAGAAAAGCTTGTTGCACAAACCAGAGAGGAGAAAAGGCCTCCCTTTCTCTTCCTTCGCCAAGCATAACATAACACCTTCTAAGAATCTAGGCTTTCCTCCCAGTTTAATTGTTGTGGTTCAGTTTCTTTCTCTCCAAGTTCATGAATCCTTTGACCTGCCCTCTCAATCAGCAGTAGTAGGTAACTATATAGATTAAATGTCCCCCCCCCCTAAAAGACAGGAGAACTTCAGTACCCCCAATACTATATGGAGAACTAGAAAATGTTCTGGTAATTTTGAGATGTAGGAATTTAAGGACTAAGAGTATTGCTATCGTCAAAGGGAACAGGAAGAAATGAGAGTTGGATAACTAGATAATACAATAAATGATCAATAAATGACAGTTTCCTTCCCTCTGGGCCCAGATCAAATGTCACTTCTCAGGATGTGCCATTCCCTTTTCATGATGCCTTCCCTCAAGTTAACTTCTCTTTCACTTGTCTCACACAGAACTTTATGTTCACATCTTTATATATTTATAAATTTATACCATATGTTAGAGTTCTTCAAGGAAGTGTGGAATCTCCTACACTGATCCCTTGAGGACAGGATCTGTGTCTTTTTCATTACCGTATCCTCTCCTTCTGTTTACCCTCCTAATCAATAGTACATGGCACATACCAGATGACCAATGTCTGAATTTCAATTTTTTGTAAGTAATCAGAGGCCTAACCATGTTTACTTTTGGTTAAAAGATGAGTCTGGTCCCTTGGCTTAGGAGCAAGACAATACCTCCCCTGAAGCTGAGTAATTTGAAGTTGAGGAGCTTGTGTTGTCTGAAGATTTTATAGTAGAGTGACAGAAAACCTTACTCTGCCGTTCCATGTTCTTTAAAGGAAGAGATGTCACCAAACCTGGCCCTCCCAGTTCTCCAAGCAAAGAAAGAATATAGATCACCCAGATCACCAGATGGCCATGATTTGGAGTCACCACCCACCCACTTTTCCACAGGTAGAGACAAAGCCAACACTGTAGGTTTAAAGGTAACTGCTCTCACACCATGTGCCTTTGTGAAGAAAGATGCACACACTGATGTCAACAAACAGCATGATGACTAAAGAGTACCTGGTCCTACAAAGCCCAACAGACCAAGTACTCAGACTGCAAACCAAGATGACACCGTCCCTGGGGCTGTAAGGACAGACATCACCACCCACTCAGTTGTCCAAGTCTGAAACCTGGGGCTTATCCTAGACTCTGATTTCTCTTTCAACTCCCTACATCTATTCTCAATCACTAGGTCTTGTTGATTTTTGAATCAGTCCACTACCCTCCATCTCCACTGCCAAGTTCCAGTTCAGATCACTATCAGCCTTAGTTTCCATTACTGCAGTAGCCTTCTCTCTGACCTCCTTGCCATCCGCCTTTTTCTCCTCCTATCATTTCTCCATAAGAAAGCAGAATTTTTGAAAATGAAAATCTAATTGTGTCATCTTCCTATTTAAAATCTTTCACTGGCTGGCCACTGTTTTCAGAGCAAGGTTCAAGGTTGTTAAAATGTCTATATGACCTGGTCCCTGCTTAACTTTTCCGTCTCATCTGTTACCCACTCTCCCTCAAAGTACATTTCAGCCAAACTCAGCTGTTGTGTTTTTCCATCATGCTTGTGCATGTATTGTTCCTTCTGCCTCTTCACTCCTCTTGACTCAGGTAAGGTGTACTTTCCTCCCTTTAGCTTTCAACCCAGGTGCACTTCATCCAGGGAATCTTTCCACTTCACCCCCAAACTTGGTAAGGTTCCCCTCTGTGTGCTCCCACAGCACCCTGAATTACTCCATTCATAGCACTGCATCCCACTAAATCAGAATTGCCTCTTTTGCTGTGCATCCTCCACCAGACTACAAGCTTGGTGAAATCACAGGCCACATCTTGTTCCTCCATATATCTAACTGCTCTCACAGGCCTGGCACATAACAGACACTCAACATTTCTTGAATGAATAAAAGGTAGGAAATAGAAGCACCTGGAGGAATTCCGAACAGCAGTAACAATGGGTTGCAGTCATTTCGGATGAGATGAAGGCTGTTAGAAAATCCTCTGTGTCAGGATGCAGGACACAGCCTAACCTCTTCTTGGCCTCAGCCCGGCCCTGCTTCCTTCACTCACAACTCGCCTCACCTTCGACCTGTCCCTCGGCACTAGTGACTGCTTGTGACCTCACACAGGTGTGATGAAGTCGCTCAGGGCTCAAAGGCATCTTTTTTTTTTTTTTTTTTCCGGTACGCGAGCCTCTCACTGTTGTGGCCTCTCCCGTTGCGGAGCACAGGCTCCGGACGCGCAGGCTCAGCGGCCATGGCTCTCGGGCCCAGCCGCTCCGCGGCATGTGGGATCTTCCCGGACCGGGGCACGAACCCGTGTCCCCTGCATCGGCAGGCGGACTCTCAACCACTGCGCCACCAGTGAAGCCCAAAGGCATCTATTTTAACACTTCCGATAGGGTGAGGGAGTGAGGGAACGGGGCGGTCGGGGTATCGCTTTTGCACTCAGGGATATTTTCCTCCTCGGATGTTGCTGCACCAGACTGTCAAGACAACCGGGCGCTCTAGAGCGTCATCAACCAGCGACGGGTAAAGAGGTGGGGCCGCAAGAAACCGGCGAAGGAAGTGACGTAAAAAGGAGCGCCTCCGAGAACGCGAGCTGGGAGCACGTTGAGGCCATGGCCCCTCGGCGCCTCCTGTTGGTTGGGGAGGGGAATTTCTCCTTCGCCGCCGCTCTGAGCGAAACCCTGGATCCGAGCACCAGTATAACTGCCACCTGTCTCCAGCGCCCGGCCGACTTGGCCCGGGATCCGCTGGCCCGGGAGAATCTGCAGCGCCTGCGCGAGCGAGGTAGCGAGGCCCACCCCTCCGTGAAGCCCCGCCCAGCTGTGGCACCGCCCAAAGTGGAAAGGGTGGGCACGTGGGGAATTCAAGGAATCTGGGGGTTGCTCTTGGTCTTTACGTGGACATTTACAGAGAGCCTGCTGTGTGCCTAGACCTGGGTTGTTTTGCATGGTTCAGGTTACGGAGGGGTTTTCTCTCGTTCCAGGTCTTAAGACATCTTTCTGTCTATATTTCGTTCCAGGTACCGAGGTACGCTTTGGTGTGGACTGCACCCAGCTGGTAGATGCCTTTGAACTGCAAGACAGAGAGTTTGATCGAATTTATTTTAACTTTCCGCACTGTGGACGCAAAGCTGGAGTAGCTAAGAACAGGGAACTGCTTGCCAAGTTTTTCCAGAGGTGAGCACTCAGAAGTGAAATGTTTAAGAGGTACATTACATAGTTACTGCGCTCAAACATGGTAGTCTGGGAAATATGGCGTACAAGAGAATATAATGCTCCAAAGGAACCCACAATCTAGTTGGAAAGGCAGACATTTAACCTTAATGCTAAATAAAAGTACTCATAATGTACTGTTCGTTCGACAAAGGGAGGATCATCTATTTTTGATAATGGGAAATGATGGTAGTATAGTCTAATTTAGGAGCCAGACTGCCTGCATTCAAATCCCCGCCCACCACTTAATAGTTTTGTGATTTTGGGGATTAAGTTTACTTGATCCTTACTTGCTTTTGCTTCCTCATCCATAAACTGAAGATATTAACAGTAACTACCTCATAAAATTATTGTGAACGCAAAACAGTGCTTTATACTATTATACAATAACACATGATACTAATGGAGGTCTCTTTGGCTCATAGTTGTCATGAAACTTTTCACAGAGGCAGTATTTTAAGTTAACAGGCAGGAGGGGAGTGAAAAGAACAACTTTCTAAGTGGGGAAGAACAGCCTGATCGCTGAATCACATATAGGAACTTTGCAGACATTGACTTTTCAATGAGATATAGATGTACAATACAAAAACAACGTTGGATAACTCTGTTGTCAGCCACTAGTATCAGTTATGAGTTGAACATTGAATTTAAATTCTTGTTTACTTCCAGCTACTTTTTTTTGCATGTTTGAAGTCTAATAGACCTTTGCAAATAGATATGATTTGATTTTAACTATTTAACAACCAAACCATATATATACAGCTAACTCCTATGGTAACTTGTACTTGTTTCTGATAAACGGCTGGTGTTTCCCTACCCCCGTTAGCTGTGCAGATGTTCTTGCAGAGGAAGGAGAAGTCCATGTGGCATTGTGTAGAGGACAAGGTGGGACTCCTGCTGATAAGCCCATGAGAGAATGGCACAACAGTTGGCAAGTGGTTGCTATGGCAGCTCTAGGGGGATTCATTTTAAGTGATGTGCATCCCTTCAGCTGTGAGGCTGTGCCAGGGTACAAGTGCACTGGATATAGGTAAGTAATAACAGAGTTCTAAGCCTTTTCCATCTCTCTCACTAATGATAAAAAAAAATCTCAGAGACATACTTTTTCCTTGTCTATTTCTTGATTCAGTCTCTAGAAATACTTGCTTTCTTTAATAATGACAGTCTTAATAATTGCTGTCTATTTTGCCAGGAGTCAAGATAAGTCCTTTCATGTAGAAGGTGCTTTGAATCATATCTTTACCCGGAGCTTACCCTATGAAGGTTTGCAACCAAGAATTTCCAGGATCAAACTGGGTGACCAGTGGTTTTCTTTTCTAGAACCAGAAGTACTTGTAGGAAAGCTGAACAGGTAACCTGATTTTACCAGAAATCACTTCTATCTCTAGTTGTATCCTGATTGGCTTGATAATCAGGCAACCATACATTGAATGGATGCCACATTAATTGTTAATGATATCATGCTGTGAATACTTGTCAGTCTGGCCTGCACAAGTCTCTTTAGAATTAAAAATTGTCATGTTTTCTGCAAATATCATATGATATCACTTATATGTGGAATCTAAAAAAAGGGGTGCAAATGAACTTATCTACAAAACAGAAATAGAGTTACAGATGTAGAAAACAAACTTATGGTTACCAGGGGATAAGGTGGGGTGATAAATTGGGAGATTGGGATTGACATATCCACACTACTATATATAAAATAGATAACTAATAAGGACCTACTGTATAGCACAGGGAACTCTACTCAACACTCTGTAATGGCCTATACGGGAAAAGAATCTAAAAAAGAGTGGATATATGTATATGTATAACTGATTCACTTTGCTGTACACCTGAAACTAATACAACATTTTAAATCAACTGTACTCTAATAAATTTTTTTTTTAAATTGTCGTATTTTCTGGTTTATTGTAGGCTGTCAGAGTTCTGAAACACATGATATCTCTCTTTATGGTAGATGATTTCTTTGTTTCCTTTCCAGATCAACTTAAGGATAATTCTTTTCTATACAGCTATTTGTGCTTTTAATTCTAGCTATGTTATAATTATTAATAATTTTAAGTTAAATAAGTTTATTTTTGTGTGTGTTTAAACAGGGGTTTCCTAGAAGCACCTTCATATCATCCTATCAAAACCATAAATGAGAAACTCATTGCTGAATTGGGGAAAGCTTTCCCTCTAAAAAGGCTGAAGTGTTCTTCCCCTTTGCTGCCACAGGGAGACACCAGTGTTCTCACTTCCTGCCACTGTGACATCCTATCATCTGCCTTTTGGATTAGTCTCCATGAAGATAACTCAAATTTTGAGTCCCTCACTGGTGGGACAACACAAGACATGGAGGATTTTCTAGTGTCATTTTCAGCACTCAGCCTTCCCAAGAACCCTAGAAGAGACAGTAAGGAAGAAGCTCAGGAAGGAACGTATGGCCAGGCCAAGGTCTGCCTTAGACCTTCTCTTCTAGTTCATGTTCAGGCTCTAATCCAAGCACCAGACTTCCTCCCAGGTTCTCTGTACATCCTCAGTGGACCTGTCTTTCAGAAGTGCCGCATCTCACCTTTCACAATGCCAGCATTTCATGAGACTTTGTTTATCCTTGGATTTAATAAAAATCTGAAGGATGGCTGTCTTCAGTCACTACTGGATCATCTGAAGGGCATTCTAGATAGCCTTCTGACCCAGACATTGCTCAAGGGCTCTAAGCTGGGCAGTTCAGTGGAATTTGTCTTTCAACCACCTGGGGAAGATTATATGATTACTGTGAAGTCTCAAAATTTTGGCCCAGATTGTGTGAAGGATTTGATTATTGGGTCTGTTACCACATCTGCTACAAGCATCATACACAAAGACCAGTGTTTTGTGTGTGTGTCTATGAACTTGGACCTATTAGCCATGCTTGTCTGGGGTATCTCTGATTGGAGGATGTTGTGGACCTTTGATAATCGTTTCCTGAAGAGTTTTGCCCCTGGGAAAATAGAACCCTTTAAAAGCTATTCCCTGTATCCTCCATACTATGTGCACGATATTAGTTTTTGGTTAGATACAAAGAAAAGATTTGATGAAGTAGAGTTTCACACTGTGGCCCGAGCAGTGTCACAGGACACTGTCATATCCATACAATTCCTTAGTCGTTTTCAGCATCCAAAGACGGAACAGGTCAGCCTCTGCTATAGATTGACCTACCAGACCTGTGACAAGGCCCTCACCCAGCAGCAGGTAGCATCAATGCAGTCCCAGCTAAGGAAGGAGATTCAACAACGACTACATGTGATACCTAGGTAGTTTAGTAAATTCATCTGTACGTAGTGATCCTCACGGGTGTGGATGAAAAAGACCAATTTGTAACCGGTAGTTCTTTCCAGACTTTTTTTTTTTTAATCTTTTACTTTGTGACTATAGCTACTGATGGTTGACTTTAAACATATCTGTGACTCGATCACTTAAAGTTTACAGACTATAATGTGAGTGGTGACCTTTGGAGTTGTGCAATATTTTGTTCATGAGTAATGACTAGGAAAACAAACAAAACAGCATCTTATACACTAGATGCTGTAATGCTGAAGCAATAGAATTTGAGTGTCTCGTCAAATATATTTATAAATATATTTTCCGAATTGTCAATTCCTCTTTCCTTAACTCTATCATATCATCTCTCTAAATCATTGAGAATAGTTTTTAGAGTCAGACAGACCGGCATTTATTACCTTGGGTAAAAGTTGCAAGTGTTCCGTGTTATTGGTATCGTCATCATGTTTATTCTGTGGTTGACTGCTGTTAAAGTCATGGAACTAAGTAAGTGTCTCACTTAGAGCTCACACCTGGGTCTGTCTGACTCAAAAGCCCCTGTTCTTTCTGCCACTTTCTGTTACTTTACTTTTCCTTCCATAGTTTTTTCAACAGTAATCTCTGAACTGTGATTAACTCTACACTTTTCCCCCCTAGATTTTGGGACTTCTGTTGTAAGCATCTCTAAGGGACTTTGGGAGATTGGCTCAGCCCAGGACTCTGCAGAATGGGGTGCTATAATGTGCATTAATGTATGTTCCTGTTAATTAATAGTTAGGCTCCACCAATTGGAGCTATATTGTAAACTCTGTGAAGGAAATAACTGTCTTATTAATTCCTTTAAAAAAATTTTTTTAATTGAAGTATAGTTGATTTAATATGTTGTCTATTTATTCTTGCATTTGGAGAAGAGCATGTGGAAAGGCAAGAATTGAAGCAAAGAAACAAATTAGGAGGTTATTATAATAATGCAACCAATATATGATGATGACCTGGACCAGGGTGGTAAAAAGTGTTTGGACTGGGTAATAATTAGAAGAACTTACTGATGATTTAAATATATGTGCATGCATGAATGTTTTGGAGTTAGAGAAATAGAGGAATCAAACAGAATCCCTAGGTTTTTGACCCAAGCAACTGGGAGAATAGAAGTGTTTTTAATCAGAATAGGAAAACTGGCATGGGAGTAAGTTTGGGGAGTGAAGAATCAAGGGATCTCTTATAGACATATGTATTGCTTAGCTCTCCACATAGACTTAAAGCTACTCGAGGGCAGGTAATGTGATTTATAGCTTTCTTCCATCCCCAGTAGTGCCTGGTACATGTGAAACCAAGCAGACCCTGCAGGGCCTTCCTGAAGACAGATTCCCCCACCCTCTCTGAGTCTCCCGCCTCTTGTTCGCAGAAAAGCTTTAGCCTCCTAGGCCTTCCCCAAACTCTAAAGAGTAGTTTTTTTGTTTTGTTTTTTTGTTTTGGCCGCGTGGCCTGTGAGATCTTAATTCCCTGACCAGGGATCGAACCTGCGTCTGCTGCAATGGAAGAGCGGAGTCTTAACAACTGTACCATTAGGGAAGTCCACCAAAGAGCAGATTTAACCTGAGAAATGAGAAAATGCAGAAACAAAGGAAAACAGTCATGTAAGACAAAATTATGGTAGTTTAGCCATAAAAAAAGTCAATTACATTTAGTTCCTCCTCAAGGGCCATAGATAATATTCTGAGCCATATCCTTGTATGTTTTATTGATACTAAACCCCTACCAGGTGGAAGAAGTTAATTGCATGCTGATCACCAGCACAAAGACCCCAGGAGGTTGATGCTGTTGACCCCTGAAATACCAACCTGTTACCGCATCACCAACCAATCAAGGATGTCCAGGAGCTGATCATGCACACCTCAACTCTTTCCCTCACCTTGCCTTTAAAAAACCTTCCCTGAAAGCTTCAGGGAGTTTAGGTCTTTTGAGCATAAGCTGCCTCTTCTCCTTGCTATAGACACTGTACTTTGCTTCAGCACAACCTGGTGTCAGTACATTGGCTTTTCTGTGTGTAGGTGAGCAGACCCAATTTTGGTTTGGTATCACTTGGATGAGGTATCATTTGGGCTGGATCTTAAAACAAGGGCAGGGTTGTGATGGAAGGATTGTTAGGCAAGGAGGGCATGCATTCCAGGCAGAGGGCATACATGAGCAGAGGTAGAGATATGGGAGCATTTGGGGTACTTTACAGGCTAGTTGGAACATAAAATGTGTATAGGAAAGTAGTGGGAGATAAGAAAAGTAGGTTAGGGAGGTAGTATTTTTGAAAATTAATTGGACAGTATTGCACAGGATCAATTTGAGATGGGAGATCCCTGTAAGGATGCTACTGTAGTAGACTTGGGTAGAGTCAGGGAGGGGCCTGCACTAGAGTGAAATGAAAAGGAGGTGGCTGTATGAGATATAGTTACATTGAGATGTCTGAATTTGGCAACTAGTAATTTCATGTGGGAATTGAGCAATAGGATCAATCTCCATTGTTAACACTCAGGAATTTTTAGTATGAAGTCATAACTTGGGACCCTGTCAAGTTTAGCACTCCCTCTATAACCTTGTTTTACTTACTGGTACAGAGCTTCACAGGGTGGGATAGAGCTCTGTGATTGGGGGAGTAGGCAGAGTATCAGGAACAGATGAATGACCTCTGAGAGTCACAGGCATGATATCATCAAAGTGCCCATGTAAAAATGCCTGTGTGAAATCAAGAGCTTTCTCCTGATCTCCTGGTTGGAAGAGCATGGATTTTGTAGTAAGACCTGGGTTGGAACATGGCTCCATCACTTCCTAGCTATGCAACCTTGGACCTCAGTCTCCTTTTTGATAAAACAAGGTTGTTGTATTATATTTTAAAAGGATAAGGTATATTAAATGCTTACCATAATGCTGTAGTAGCAATGGCAGTGACTGGTGTCTGGTTAAATTTGCTGCACAGAGTTTCTTCAGTCTTTCACTTTTCTCCTCATTCTGTATTCTGCCATTATGGCTTCATCTCTCTGAAGCAGTTAATTAGCTGCAGGCTGTCCCTATCACTTGGCAAAATATCAAGGACAAGGTGCCAGTGATCTTTAAAGAACTTCCTCTTTTGTAGGCGGCTGTGCTATGATTTTTAACTGAATATCTGCGTACTCGGTGGAATTAATTACTCTCTATTTGTGCTTTCTTTTAAACAGGGATGCTGAAGGACAGTATTTGTAGGAGAGTGCAGAATGCTGAGAAGTGAAGGCAGAGAGAGAGGGAGGAAGGCATGCCTAGAGTTACTAGTATGTGGAAGGGATAGCGATAACGGCCAAGTAAAGTCTCAGGTCGCATTTCTTTTCTACCCAGGGATTTGCCCCAATTAGCCCAGAAAACTATAATTTAGTCGTGTCTGCGCATGTCGAGGTCTTTTGTCCCTCGGCGGACACCGTTGCCAGCCAAAGGCTATGTCTCCGCGCTCGTCGCCTTCGTAGGGCGCCGAGTTCTACCTTTTTTCCCACTCTTGCCATGGCGAGCCGAGGAGCCCGGCAGCGCCTGAAGGGAAGCGGGGGCAGCGGCGGGGACACGACCTCGGCCGCCGACAAGCTGCGGGAACTGCTGTGCAGCCGGGAGGCGGGCAGCGCAGAGCCCCGGCCCGAGTAGGTGTGCGGGCGCGGCGGGGGCGTGGCCGGGCGGCGGGCGGCGCGGGGCTGCCGGTAGAGGGTCTCGCCCGCGCTGTGCTGTGCTGCGCCCTGCCCGACTTTCCCGCCGGGAGGGCCCGCAGCCTCTTCACCCTGCTCTTTCTGCTCTTACAGGGCGGGTGGACGCTGGGTCTTCACCCGCCTTAGATTAGATCCCCCAGCTCGGGTCCCGTGTTGCTAGTGAAGAAACCCTGCAGGTCTGTGCGGCTTCCGGCCCAGGGTGGGCTGGCGTCGCTGTGTGTGTGTGTGTGTGTGTGTGTGTGTGTGTGTGTGTGTGTGTGTGTGTGTGGTGTGTGTGTGTGTGTGGTGTGTGTGTGTGTGTGTGTGTGTGTGTGTGTGTGTGTGGTGTGTGTGTGGTGTGTGTGTGTGTGTGTGGTGTGTGTGTGTGTGTGTGTGTGTGGCCGAGCCGCCGTGGGGTACGCAGGCCCAGGGTGGGCTGGCGTCGCTGTGTGTGTGTGTGTGTGTGTGTGTGTGTGGCCGAGCCGCCGTGGGGTACGCAGGCGGGAGCAGAGAGTACCTTTTCCGGCTGTCTCTCCCAGCTTCCTTCAGTCCTCGCAGAGTCCCGACCCTTTACTCTTCTGTGTGGATCCCACCACCAGCAAACACCTCTCTTTTCAAGCCGGAGGGCTGCAGGTTAAGCCTGCGCTGGGGAGCTGTCAGCATATGGAATTGGAAAAGGTGATGTCCACTGCACAAGTTAGCTTCCGGGCATTTGAACAGATGGGGAAATGAATAAAGCCATGGAAAGTAATGACCTTGTTAGGAGAATAAGGAAAAGGCGAATAAGAGCTTGTGGCCTGTAAGTGAGCGATTTGTTGGCTTGGGGTAAGCGGAGTGTCATAGATGCAAAGAACTAAAGTGCATGAATTAGCTTACACCTTAAAAGCAGGAAGTAATGACTAACGTTGATTAAGGTCTTAATTCGTTCCTTATCTATTGTAGTCAAGACAATTAACGATTCACCCTTTTAGGTGACTAACTCATGTGCTTTGGTGTCTCTTGACCTGTTGTCCTTTCTGTCTAGTTTTAGCCCTTCTAGTTAGCAGGTCCTTTCTGACACATACTTTTTTTTTGCTTCTGAGCAGGTTATCTGGGAACAAAGCAGGACAAGTCTGGGCACCTGAAGGATCTACTGCATTCAAGTGTCTGCTCTCAGCAAGGTTATGTGCTGCTCTCCTCAGCAACATCTCTGACTGTGATGAAACATTCAACTACTGGGAACCAGTAGGTGATTTCTTTAGTTTTCTTTTTTTGTTCTTGATTTCACTGCTTGGAACCTTGTTATGAATCAAGATACAAATAATATACAAGTGTGACTATTAGTAAAATAACCTTATTTTCATTTCTGTATTCTAAGCTGATGATTTACCTCCTATTGAATGATATAGGAATTGCTGTTATACAAAAAAGGTGTAATTTGTAATTTTCTTAAAAAGTTTTTAAGTCAAAATATTACTTTGAGGTAGTTTAAAAATATTAAACGTAAAAGAAAAGCAGAAACTCCCTGTTGCACTTCTCATGGCCAAATCCTTGTCCCCAGAGGCAACCACTTTCTTTAAACATTTTTGGTTTTTTTCTTCTGATGTTTAGTAAAATAAACAATGTTGCTACATACTATGCTTATATTGCTGTTTCTTGATTTATACTTTTATAAGTTTGTTGGACTCCCTGTTATAGGAAATGCAGAGGTGAAATTTTCTGATCACATTTTGCATAAAAAAATAAGGAATGCTTAGGGTAGGTAGTTTAAGGAAAATACAAGATTTAGAGTTTTCCTGTTTTGGTTAATGAGTATTTTTTAAAAAATAAATAGAGGGTAAAATTCCAGCTTTCAATGTTGGCCAAACAATAGTCTTGTAGGATTTATAATGTCTTAATATTTTTCAGTATTGGGTCATTTTGATTCTTATCCATTAGTTGCAAATCTTATTGAGAATTTCAGCTTTTTTGTGTAGCTTTGTCTCATTAATACTTTTGCTTAGAAACTTCACCTGCATCCTCTTAACAAGGATTTTTGGCCAATATAACCCTGAATCCATCCGTTTTGTACTTTCAGACACACTACCTCATCTATGGGAAGGGGTTTCAGACTTGGGAGTATTCCCCAGCTTATGCCATTCGCTCCTATGCTTACCTGTTGCTTCACGCCTGGCCAGCTGCATTTCATGCAAGAATTTTACAAACTAATAAGGTAAGGGCGGGCCAACCTGGAAGCAATCACAACTGATCAAGTGGTGGGTGAGTCTCTGGAACAATTTGGGAAAGGGACCAAATATATTCATAGTTAGGAGGGGATTGTTTTTAAGAAGAATCATTTATTCATTCATTATTCAACAAGTATTAATGGAGCAACTTTTATTTGGTAGACACTTTGTTAAGTGCTCTGGGTGTAACAATGACCAAATCCTTGCCCTCATGGAATTTATAGTTTAGTGGAGAAGACGAACATGGAACAAGTAATTATAAATGCAGTGGGTCATGGAGGAAAAGTACAATGTGCAGTGGGTTAGCATATTAGGGAGAGCTTAATTTAAACAGAATACTGAAGGATAATTAGGAGTTAACTGAGACCTAACCTGATTACCTTTCAGAAATTTGACTATGATGTGTCTTAGCATGGATTTCTTTGGGTTTATCCTGTTTGGAGTTTACTCAGCTTCTTGAATCTTTAGACTTATGTCTTTTCACAAATTTGGGAAGATTTTAGCTGTTATTTTTTTAAGTGCTTTTTCAGTCCCGCCCTGTTTCTCCTCTCCTGAGCCTCCAATGATGTGAATGTTAGATATTTTATTACAGTCCCATGGGTCCCTGAAGCTCTCTTCACTTTTTTTTTTTTTTTTTTTTTTGCGGTACGCGGGCCTCTCACTGTTGTGGCCTCTCCCGTTGCGGAGCACAGGCTCCGGACGCACAGGCTCAGCGGCCATGGCTCACGGGCCCAGCTGCTCCGCAGCATGTGGGATCTTCCCGGACTGGGGCATGAACCCGTGTCCCCTGCATCGGCAGCCAGACTCTCAACCACTGCGCCACCAGGGAAGCCCTCTCTTCACTTTTTTCCAGTCTGTTTTCTCTGTGTTCAGATTGAACAGTTTCTGTCGTCTTTTTTCCAGTTCATTGATGCTTTCCTCTGTCTCCTTCATTCTGCTGTTGAGCCTACCCATTGAGCTTTTATTTTGGTTACTGTATTTTTTCAGTTCTAAAATTTCCTTTTGGTTTTTCTTTTTCTCTTCTATTTCTTTACTGAGACTTGCTATTTTTTCATTTGTTTCAAACGTGTTCTTAATTGCTTATTGAAGTATTTTTACAATGGCTCCTTTAAAACTTTGTCAGATAATTCTTATATCTCATTTCAGTTTTGGTATCTATTAATTGACTTTTTTCCTTCAGTTTGAGATTTTCCTGGTTGACAAGTAATTTTTAGTTGAAACGTGGACATTTTGGGTATTATAGTGTGAGACTCTGGATCTTATTCATGGGCCCAGCCTGCTTCCTCTGCACTATTCTGCTTCTCTTTTAGCTGGCTTCTTTTGATACCACTGCAGCTGGAAAAAGGAGAGGGTTCACCACCTTGTGACTGCCAACTGGGGCTAGAAGTCCAGGTTCCCAACTAGGCCTCCACTGATACCACCCTAGTGGTCAGGGTAGAGGTACCTCATTACTGCTAGGTTTGGGGGAGTGGAAGTCCAGGCTCTCCAAGTGGTCTCAGAGGAAAGATATATAGGATGGGGGAGTTAGTAGAGAAATAACAATATGCAGCGCTTAAGGTTTTCATCTCCATTTGGATATCCACTGTCACTTCAAATTTGGCATATTCAACCCAGAGTCCTACCTCTTACATCAGTGATACAAACAGCAAGCAAAACAGGAATGAAGATATCTGTTCTCTTGTTCCTTCTTCCAGTTTCCTCCTTTTTAGGTTCTGCCAGTGTGAGCCACAGGGCAAGGGGGAGTTGTAGCTTATAGGGTCCCAGCCCCATCATCATCATTAGAGTAGAAAAGGGTGGATTGTAGCTGAGAGACAATATGGTAATAATTGGCACCCCTAGTGATGGTTACCTTTACAACTTGCTACCCTAAACAAGAACAGCTTTGTTCTCTCTATGGATTGAGGTGTGAAATTCTCTGAATTATACACTCAGGAGTGGCATCCTGTACATAGATCCATGGGCTACTTAATTTCATGGAGCACTGCCAGATTGCTCTCCAGAATGGCTATTCAACTTTATACTCCCTACAACAATGTTTGGGGTTTCAGCTTCCTAATATCTGAGCACTTGATATTTCTGACTTTCTAATTTTTGCCCTTCTCATGTATATGAGATGCTTCTCATTTTAATTACATTTCTCTGACAACTAGTAAGGTGGAGAATTTCTTCATGTATTTATTGGTCATTCATATTTCCTTTTCTGTGAATTACCTATTTGCATCCTTTGCCTGTTTTTCAGTTGGGTTTTCTGGTTTTCTCTTGTGATTTGCAGAAGTTCTCAATAGTAACCCCTTGTAGGTTTTAGATACTGGAAATCCTTTCTCTTAGGCTGTCACCTGTCTACTAACTTTGTCTGTGGTCCTTTGTTGAACAGAAATCTTTAATTTTGATAGAGTCAAACCAATTAGTTTTTCACTTACGGTTGGTGGGTTTTGGGTCTTTCTGAAAGAAATCCTTCACCACAGGTCACAAAGATATTCTTATGTATTTTTCCCTAGTAACTTTATTATTTTATCTTTCACATACAAGGCTTTAGTCCATTTGAATTTTATTTTTTATAAATTGTGGAAAGATCCAGCTTTATTTTTTCCTATATAGCGAACTGGATTTTCCAGCACCATCTGCTAAATAATTCATCCTTTTCCTTCTGGTTTGTAATACCATCTGTATCATACATCTCATTCCCATGTATGTTTCTGGCCTTTTTAATTCTGTATCATTGGTCAGTTTGTCAGAGAGTACCATATTGCTTCTATTATTATGGCTTTGTAGTATGTGTTAATATTTGGCTGATGAATTTCTCTATCCATTTTAAAAATTGTGTTTTATTTTTAATTTTTAAAATATTTATGTATTTATTTATTTATTTGGCTGCACTGGGTCTTAGTTGCTGCCCACGGGATCTTTAGTTGCGGCATGTGAACTCTTAGTTGCAGCATGTGGGACCTAGTTCCCTGACCAGGGATTGAACCCAGTTACCCTGCATTGGGAACACGGAGTCTTTTAATTGCTGGACTGCCAGGGAAGTCCTTAAAATTGTATTTTAAAAATCATTTTAGAATCAATTTGCCCCTCTCCCAAATTCTGGTAGGTATTGATTGGAGTTGCATTGAATTTATGTATTAATATGAGAATCAATATTTTTAGAGTGTTGAGTCATTCCATCCCTAAAATGATGTATTTATCCACTTAGTTAGGTTTTCTGTGTCTTTTAATAAAATGTAAACAATGTATCCATTTTAGGCTTATCCATTCTTTGACTAGGATAATGACTAGATTCTTTATACTTTTTGTTACTGTTATGAACGGTATCTTGTTTTCTGTAATTTTTGTAGGAGGTCATTGCAGGTGAGGAACACAATTGTGAGGAACACAATTGATTTTTGCTTTTTGATCTTGATCAAAATCTCACTGAATTTCCTTATTAGTGTCAGTGGTTTGTCAGGTGAATCTCTGGATTCTCTTTCATCTGTGCATGTAGAGTTTAGTTTCTTCTGTTCCATTCCTTATATCTCATTTCCTTTTTGTGTCTTTTTGCACTAACCCGACATCCAGTTACTATGTTGAATATTAGTTGCTATGGGAGCATCACTGTCCTATTCCCAAATACAGTTCTTATATTAACTTGTGTTAATTTTTAACTTTCTAAGTGTGTTTTTGTACTCTCCTCAACCAGATGAAGAGTCCTTAAGTGTGGATACCTTGTACTAAAATTATCTGTATTCCTAGTAGCATCTAGAGAGTGCTCAATGTATAGTAGGTTTTCAGTATGGTTTTATTGAATTAATGAATGAACTTGGGCATTTGCTGATCACTTGATTGAACATAATGATGAAAACTGAAAGAACTTTTAAGTTATATGTAGTAATATTAATCATAGAATGTATTTAAATAGTGCTTATTTTCAGAGGTATTCATTGCTTTTAAACATACCAGTATACTGTAGTATAAAAGCTATTCGGTACAATTCTTATTATTTTGTTATTTTTATTTGTAAAATTCATGTCAATTCCTACAATTAATAAAAACCACATTACAGACATTTGAAAAATAGGAGGAAAAATATGTACCTAAATCTCACTAGCCTGATATAGCCACTTTTACCATTTTATTATATTTCTTTCCAGTTTTTTCATATACAGTACTTCTGATTTCCATAGCTGTAACTCTGATGTATAAATAATGTTATATCATATATTTTCATTTAGTATTTTATAATATAATTTTATAATAATTATAATCAGTTATTATAATTGTCTAAGAAATGCTTGTTGAATAAATGAGCTTTATATCATAAGAATTTTCCATTGTCTTTGCAACCATAAACTTTGATATGTGTATAATAATACATGAATAGATATAATTTAACCATTTCCCTGTAATTGAACATTTTATAGTTTTTAAAATAGTTTTTACTAAGTTAGTAGAGCTGCAATTAACATTTTTATGAATAGAACTCCTCCCCTCCCATATTTTGAGTTACTTCTGTGGGCCGGAATCAGAGAAGTAGATATACTTCTATACTTGAATTTAGGGATATGAAAATTTGCATGGTTCTTGATACATATTGCTTTTCAAAAGGATTATACCAATTTATAGTTATTAGTGACAAATGAGAGTGGTTTCATCTTTAAGAGTTTTTCTAACTTATCTTTAACTTCTGTTTTCTTGTTCTGGGTTTCTTTCAGATTCTTGTCTTTTACTTTTTACGATGTTTGCTGGCTTTTGTGAGCTGTATATGTGAACTTTACTTTTACAAGTGAGTATAAAAGCTTTGCTTCTAAAAGTGCTATGAGGAAGCCCAATATAGCATAGATTATTACTGTGATAGTAGAAGCAGTGTTTAGAAACAGAAAACATTTTCCTTCTAGCTTCTAATATTATATCTAAAGTGCAATTTCTTGTTTGAAACGAACCATTGGAAGGGAATGCTTCTAATTATCACTTTCTTTCCTGAGGTGATAAATGGCATATCTTCATATTATTAACTTTAATTCTGTTAATAAATATCTAACTGGTATTTTATTTGGTAGGATTTAGTAGGGCCCTTTTTTTTTTTTTTTCTTTTTTGGTCCTGAGAGATAGGATCATGATTTCTTTCTTCTCCCTTTGAGCTGAGCTGATAGGAAATTATTCCCAGTGTGGAACTCACTGCTCTTATTTGCACCCAGTACATTGTCTTTCACCAAGTACCTATTGGTTGAATGAATATTAGTGAAAGTATTAAGCAGTTAAGTGTTCCAGTAATAAAAATAGCTACCTTTTTTAACATGAAACCTAAGAAACATTTTAATAATGCTTTAAAAGGTATCTGGACTTAGTAATCATTATTTAAAGTCTTCCCACTGCAAAACAGCCAAAAATATAAGATAAAAAAGTTCTTTGGCCTTGACTCTGGGTAGAATAGAGGAAAAAAAAAGAAATCCAGGGCTTCCCTGGTGGCGCAGTGGTTGAGAGTCCGCCTGCCAATGCAGGGGACATGGGTTCATGCTCCGGCCCAGGAAGATCCCACATGCCGTGGAGTGGCTGGGCCCGTGAGCCATGGCTGCTGAGCCTGCGCGTCCAGAGCCTGTGTTCCGCAATGGGAGAGGCCACAACAGTGAGAGGCCCGTGTACTGCAAAAAAAAAAAAAAAAAAAGAAATCCAGTGCTGCCTTTGAGGATTGTAATCTTAAGTTGGTCTTTATATGAGTTCAGGACTGAATTCAAATCACCCACATGGCCCGCTAAACCCCAAGTTGAGAGTTTACTTTAAATTGTTCTGGGCTGTTAGTGTTCCCAGGCATCTTGCAAAAACAAATGTAAAATTTCTCTAGAGAAGTGGATCCTTAATCCAGGTGTCAAAGCATTACCATAGATAAAATTCTAGTGAACAAGAATTTATAGTAAAAATAAATGACAAATCACAGAAGGGAACAAAACATTATGAGTGAGAGCCAGCAGAGATAACAGATCAATAGAAAGCTGACCTGCAAAACTTCATTTATTAGGAATTACTAAAATAAGAATATAAAATAATTACATTTAATATTTTTAAAGAAATAAAAGAAGGAATTGAAAACATAAAGAAGAAACAAGAGACTAAACAATCAATGGAGTGAAAAAGAACTTGCAGAATGGGAGAAAATATTTGCAAACCATATATCTGATAAGAGATTCATTTCCAAAATGTATAAGGAACTCCTGTAACTCAATAGTAAGAAACCTAATAATCTGGCCAACATACATGAAAAAATGACAGTATCACTAATCATCAGGGAAATGCAAATCAAAACCACAGTGAGATCACTTCATATTTGTTAGAATGGCTCTTGCCTAAGGAGGCAAGAATATACAATGGAGAAAAGACAGTCTCTTTAGCAAGTAGTGTTGGGAATCCTGGACAGCCGCATGTAAATCAATAAATTTAGAACCCTCCCTCACACCATACACAAAAATAAACCCAGAATGGCTTAAAGACTTAAATATAAGACATGACACCATAAAACTCCTAGAAGAGAACATAGGCAAAACATTCTCTGACATAAATTGTACTAATGTTTTCTTAGGTCAGTCTCCCAAGGCAAGAGAAATAAAAGCAAAGATAAACAAATGGGACCTAATCAAACTTACAAGCTTTTGCACAGCAGAGGAAACCATAAACAAAACAAAAAGACAAACTACAGACTGGGGGAAAATATTTGCAAATGATGTGACCAGCAAGGGCTTAATTTCCAAAACACACAAACAGCTCCTATAACTCAATAACAAAAAAACAAAAAACCCAATAAAAAAATGGGCAGAAGACCTAAACAGACATTTCTCTAAAGAAGACATACAGATGGCCAGTAAGCACGTGAAAAGATGCTCAACATTGCTAATTATTAGAGAAATGCAAATCAGAACTACAATGAAGTATCACCTCACACTGGTCAAAATGGCTATCATCAAAAAGTCTACAAAAAATAAATGCTGAGAGGGTGTGGAGAAAAGGAAATCCTCCTACACTGTTGGTGGGAATGTTAATTGCTGCAGCCACTATGGAGAACAGTATGGAGGGTCCTTAAAAAACTAAAAATAGAATTGTCATATGATCAGCAATCCCACTCCTGGGCATATATCCACAGAAAACTAATTTGAAAAGATACATGCACCCCAGTGTTCATTGCAGCACTATTTACAATGGCCGAGACATGGAAGCAACCTAAATGTCCATTGATAGATCAATGGATAAAGAAAATGTGGTGTGTATGCATGTATATATATATATATATATATATAT